TAATATTCCCGAAAGTGGAAAATCTGACGCATAAAAGTGAAACTCCAAACCAATATTTTTTTGCGATTCTATGAGGCACTGTCAAAGTAATGTAGGATTGGGCGATCTTGGGTCGTTCTTTGGAAGATCGATTTTTTCATCCAGTTTCCGATTTTCCACACTGTACCAAAGCACCGTCCTCTGTTCGAATGAAACCTCAAACCATTCAAATCGAAACATCGAAATCGCCTTTTCGAATGAAAGCTGCAACCGGATGACGGTTGTTTTGAAATCAGATGATTTTCCTCTCGAATACAGGATGAACATTGTTATGAAAAGGCATTTGGCCTTCAGTTGGAATGCGTAATGCTCTCTGCAGAATGGTAATCATCTTAAATTGAAATTAATTTGGTATTGGCTCAGCCTCTTAACACAAATCATTCAAAACGATGATGTAAATAATTCTATTGAACGCCATTTTTTGCTCTGAGCAGACAAACGAGGTGAAAGCATAGCCATCGCTATTAGAGGTGGTACGAGCATTGGTAAAGAGTGGAAACCGTAAATTTTCTATTTCGTGGTGGAGGAAGTTTCCTCTACCAACCAAAAAGGATTTTTTGTATCCATAATGAATAGCTGTTCATGGCTAATCAATATGAAAATGTAAAAAATCGAATTAATAATCTAATTTAAAGCATTTGCAAGTCATCCTATTCATAATTGTTGTCCTCTGAGCCCTGTATGTTTTACAGCCAATTTTCAAATAAATATCATACTTTATTTGGAGGACAGTCATATGGATGCTCATCAGTTGATGACGAATTCAACCATTAGGAAATCATCCGAAATTCGACAGCATATACCAAATTAATTTCAATTTAAGATGATTACCATTCTGCAGAGAGCATTACGCATTCCAACTGAAGGCCCTATGCCTTTTCATAACAATGTTCATCCTGTATTCGAGAGGAAAATCATCTGATTTCAAAACAACCGTCATCCGGTTGCAGCTTTCATTCGAAAAGGCGATTTCGATGTTTCGATTTGAATGGTCTTAGGTTTCATTCGAACAGAGGACGGTGGTTTGGTACAGTGTACCGTAACAGCGGGCCCAAAACAATGAGCTGGATTACCGAGGTGAAGCAGTCGGTTAAGTTGTGTGAGTAAAACCCCTGTACGATACATGCAATTAGTGACGTCACTAATTGCGTTTACGTTGATTTTTTGGATTACTAATACAACCATATTTCACGATCTGCTTCACCTCTCTCTGTACCTCATTGGGCCCAAAACAGCAAAATAAACGATTTGAGCCCGAGACATGCTGCCTACTGTCAAACGCTGCTGATGGTATAGAGTTCTCCAGATGCACAAAAGTGTGCGTGAGACCGCGCGCTACCTTTTTAAGTAGTTGTGATATCGCGATACCTTTTTGGTTCTTCTTCTTCTTCATTTTTATATATGAACGTTGGACTTTAGTGTTCGTGAGATTGCGCTTGGAGATCTCTATAGGCCTTATCACTGGCCTGGATTTTTCGGATCGATTCTTTCTCGATGAACATTTCAAATGGTCCTATCTGCTTTGATCGATTCTCTTCATCGACTTTCTCTTTTCATAACCACTGCTATACAAACAGATTTCGCGCTAATTCTACCACATAGTTTGATAAAGAAGGTTCTTATCTAGCGTCCAAAACGTCAAATACAACAGGGAAAGGATTTGCAGTTGAGTTATTGACGAAAGAGAAAGTCGATGAAGAGAATCGATCAATGCAGATAGGTCATTTTGAAATGTTTATCTAGCTTTGTCTCGATCTCTTCTTTCGCTTCTTTCGATTTTTTCGATCTTTAAAAAAGGTGTTATAGGGGAAATGGATGTAATGTCGGCCTAAATGCCCCTGATTTGGGCTCATACATAAATTCAGCTATCGACTAAACTTTCAAAAGCAACCAAAAATATCCATCAGTACCATCCCAATGATGCGTTCATCTAGATAAAATTGATAAATAACAGATTTTTAGCGATGGGCCCAATCTTAGATCCATGGCCAACATTAGAGCCTTTTCCCTCGCCTTTTCCCCTATATATGAAGTATATTAACAGGAGAGATCCTGGCGTAGTGGATCCATACTTCTCACGACAAAGTCACGAGTTCAAATCTCACCTCCAGACAAGTCACGAATGACCGTAGAGCGTTAAAGTGACTATTATCTGTTTCTTTGGTAACAAAACACGCCGAAAACGACGCAGAAATCATCGCCATACAAATTCCTATGGCGACGATTTCTGCGTCGTTTTCGGCGTGTTTTGTTACCAAAGAAACAGATAATATAATAAAAAAGGTATTAACATCGAAAAAACGATTTAACATTTTTAACATTTTGAAAGTTTGCACTACCTCCCTTCTGTACTCATTGCTCCTTACCATCACGACAATATTTCTCGAGTAACATTTGAAATGGGCCTATGTCTAAAACGTAAACAAATCGGGTTTTGATATCATTCTTTAGCACCGCTTGATAGCTACTAATCATGTAGGAAAGTTCCGCATAATCTAGAAAAATCATTAAAATAACTCGATTTTCGAAACGTCCGATCAACGAAATTTTTCAATTCACGCTAAAACGGCCAACCATTCATTTATTTCATTTCATTGAAAGACCTTGTGACGTAGAAGAGCCAATGATTGAAAATTTTCAAACCAAAGTTAAGCCCTACTGCTTGAGGCAGGGCCGATGATTTGTTTTGAATTTATTTGACGTAGCAAAAAGGCTTAGCAAAGGGCGTACCAATTTTTATGACAAGCACAACGGCTTAACAAATCGAAAGATTCACAAAATAGGCTTATTAATTTATGAATTAAATTGTTATCGATTGTGATATATTTTTGCAAGGTTTTCACATATTTTGGAAGCTGTATGCTGAGATACAGTTACTATTGTTATTGTGAAGAATATAAATACCTAAAATACTTCAATTTTCTTAAATATGAATTGAAGTGGCGGAAAAAAATAAAATTCATTTTCTGGTTTGTTTACGTTTTGGAGATAGTCCCATTTCAAATGTTACTCTAGATTTGATTGAATATTATACAGGAAAGAATTTCTTTTGGGTACCAACATGAGCAAGCATATTAAAAAAAAATCTCGATGTGCCAAAGATCGATTCTTTGGTATCAATTTAATCAGTCGATCGATTCTAGAGCCAAATATAAGATCGATCTTTCTCTGAAGATCGCCCAATCCTAAAATAATGACCCGACCAACCATAAGCACATGAACCCCTCGTTATCAACCGTGCTGCCAAAAAAATTATGTGTGTTTTGTTTTACTTCCGAGTTACATTCATGCTAACACACACTAATGCAATGCGATTGTTTAGTAGATAAGCGTGATTAATTCACCTAAATTAGTTAGATTGCAAACCTTTAACTAGATGATATTTTCAAATATTATTAAGCATTATTAAATAATAAAGAATGTATTAATATCTAGCAAATAACTACTATTTCAATGGGATACTACACTGATAAATTGAACTATTCCCATTTTGCTTGAAATTTAATCAATTTGACATTAATCTCAGTTTAATCATATCGAATGATTAAAAAATAATCCTCTCTTTCTAAAAATAAGCATCTGATATTAATCCCAGTTAAATCATGATTGATTCGATTGTAGGTTATCTTTTTTTGAATAAATTTTAATCATTTTTGATTTTATTTTAATTAATTTTGATTGAATTTTAATCTTTTTTGGTTATATATCAGTATTGAAAAAGAATAAGATTTAATACTGGAAAGATTATTTCGATTTTAATCATGCATGACTACTGCCGAAGTAATCATGGCTCGGACTCAATAAGGTGAAGCGGGAATCTGCATACTTTTTAAGCTTTTTTGATTTAATTTATTTTTGAGTGTACTATCTGCCTTTGAGCGGCTTGTAATATTGATACCAATAATCGTATTTCGCAAAACCGGTACAAACGAAACATAGAACAATAAGTACACAACAATCTTACGCACATGGTTATAGAAAAACAAACTAATTGATATCCTTCATATCACGATTACTTTTCTTATCATTTTTGCGCTGGTAAACAGAAAAGTACAGTAGTTCTACAGCAAACCTTCCATGTTTCAACGGCTACTCCGAACCGGATTGGTTACTGCTTACATAAATTCCGCCGCGTTCACTTGTATCAATCGTACGTTTACCATCGGAGAAAGTGTCGCAAAAATGAGTCTGGATCAGGCCAAGAAGATCGCCGCTTTCAAAGCCGTGGATGAGTATGTAAAGAATGATACAGTGGTAGGAGTCGGCAGTGGCTCGACCGTAGTCTACGCCGTGCAGCGACTGGCCGAACGGGTGAAAACCGAAGGACTGAAATTAGTATGCATTCCGACGAGCTTCCAGGCGCGTCAGTTGATTATAGATAATGGTCTGGTGCTGGGGGATTTGGAGCAGAATCCTAAGATTGACTGTGCCATCGATGGTGCCGATGAGGTTGACGCCGATATGGTCCTAATTAAAGGCGGTGGCGGATGTTTGCTGCAGGTTAGTTTTGGGGGTTGATTTTACAATTGAGCATTGCTCTAATGGTGTTCATGCTTTACAGGAAAAAATAGTGGCTTCCTGTGCTGATCAGCTGATCGTAATTGCCGATTATACTAAGAATTCCAAGAAGCTCGGAGAACAGTACAAAAAGGGTATCCCGATCGAAGTTGTTCCAATGGCGTATATTCCGATAAGGAATAGGGTGGCTGCCAAATACGGGGGTAAATTGAATCTTCGAATGGCCGTTGCAAAGGCTGGTCCGGTCGTAACGGACAATGGAAATTTCATTCTCGATTGGCACTTCCCGGAAGGCGACTTCGACTGGGATGCCGTCAATCGGGACATCATGATGATTCCTGGTGTGGTCGAGACTGGGTTGTTTGTAAAAATGGCATCGAAAGCCTATTTCGGTCTTGCCGATGGATCTGTCACCGAAAGAGCTGCCTAACAACAACGTACAATAATTTCTCACTCAAAGTTTATTGGTGTTTGATGCAGCTATCATAATATGTTCAATAAATAAATAACAAAAGAGCAAAAAACGGAGATGTGTCTATCGATGGTCGATAATGTTGATGATGGCAGAACGTTTCACATTTTGTTCTTCAGTTGGATTGATTACGGTGGTACGGAGATCGTTTGCTTAAAATGCTTTCTTATTTCGCTCCGGTAGAAGCGATTCCTTGGCAAAGTTAAATAGCGACAGCAAGCCTATCTTCTTCCGACTGGAGAAGTAGTTTGTCACCACGTCGTTATCACCTAAAAGATGCGTTCTTTCGTTGCTGGTTGGCAGAACATTGTCATTGGCCGATAGTGACACAAACAGCGCAAACGGCACCAACCATAGGCACAACGTAAAGTATGCCATTACCTAAAACAGAACGATGCAAAAAAGAAAATAGATTAAAACCGTTTCCCTCAAGTTTGCGTAATCCAATTACCTCCGTGAATGGATGGAACTGCTGTTGGAAATAGATGAAAGCCAAGTAGTGATTCAATAAAAGTAATATCACAGCGCCCAGAAAGCTGGGCGAAAGGAACTTCACGTATGGGAAGTTCTTCAGTATGGCTGCATGTAAGCCCTGGGCTCCAACACCGCAGAGTATCAACGTCCAGGTGAAACATTCCGTAAATATGAACACCGCGTAAAGTAGAACCGACCCGACGATCATCCAAGTAATGACCTTCTTAGCCATGACCGTGTATTCCTCTACCAGTTCGGCTAGATAGTAAAGGCCAGCAGCTGCAAGTAAACAGAACATTGATCATCATTTGGACCGAAGCCAAAAACACCCCGTGCCAATGGGAAACTCCTGCTTTTTTGTGCAGTAGGGTTTGCGTATTCACAACAGATTTTTTTTCTTCTGGGAGCTGCCCATTGGCCACCTTGATGGCGGGAACCAAAACAAACCTATCGATACGGTTGCGAAGCAGATCTGCACCAACAGTGAGACATAGCTCAGCAAACTGAGGAAAGTCATTCTGTGCTCGGGTTACTTCACTTTTTTTTTAATTTGATGCACTTTGAAGGATAAATTGTCACGAAACTTACAGCTAATCAAACTATCTACAATTTATGAGTTCATTTTCACCGAGGAAAATTTTGTTTTTCACGATCGTCAGCCGCAGACGACACCGTCGTCGGCACAGAGAGAGAAAATGCGATGTGGAACAAGATCGAAGTGATCATCAAACGCAAAAAAAAAACCTCGAACCACCGTTTCGGTGAGAGCGATGAGTCAAAAACGGAATGACATCGATAAACGTCACATTGTGGCCCTTTGGAAACGCGTTATCAGCAAGCGAGTCAGACCCAATGAGTGTGAACTCGGTGTAAACAGGTGAGGCAACACTGAAACAAGGACCATACGAGGGACCATAGTTAGAAATACTATTTTGTAGAAAACACTTATTTTAAATATAATCACGCTTATTACCGTTAAATCTACAATGAATTCAGTATAGTTGACTATAAATGTTAACAAATTTACTATGATTCTGGCAAAACTACTATCTTTTCCCCAAATGCATAGTAATTTTGATGGAAATAATAGTAAAATTAAATGAAATTGTTCTCTGCAAAAATCTATTGGTGAAGGTATTTAATTTAAACTAGCAATAAGTCCAAAGTGTTTTTTTTATGTTACTTCATACGCGAAGTTAACGATTTTCAGAGTTGGTTGGAAATGCTAACATGAAGCTTTAGTGTGATGATTTATTAGCTAGAGAATGATCTTTAGAAGAGTGTAGGTGGATAGTTCCGTTAGAGTACGGCAGTATGAAAATTGAATAGAAGTTGAAAATGAGCGAAGGGCCATTAAAGCGACAGTTTACAAGATAGACGCACATTTTTGCCTAGCCCGTACGATGTACGCGGGGACTTGAAGTATGCCTGTGGACTTGGAGACATACTTCAAGTCCCCGCGTACATCGTACGGGCTAGGCAAAAATGTGCGTCTATCATGTAAACTGTCGCTTTAATGGCCCTTCGCTCATTTTCAACTTCTATTCAATTTTCATACTGCCGTACTCTAACGGAACTATCCACCTACACTCTTCTAAAGATCATTCTCTAGCTAATAAATCATCACACTAAAGCTTCATGTTAGCATTTCCAACCAACTCTAGCAATAAGTATTTTTCCAATGAATTTCGTTTCAGTGAATGGTTCTCCCGCCGGTGGTTTAGTGCTCGGTTTAGGCTGTGAACCATTTGCCGAGTTAAATTTAACTCGTGGTTAAAAGTGACATTTCGAAAGTTATTTTCTATGTTCGAAAATCCCCGTGCTGTCAATCGACCGGTTTTCGAGCCATGGTTGTCAAAATTTAACTTCTTGTCTTTCAGAAATAACCGTGTTCGGATAGCAGGGTTTATCCTAAGAGGGGTTAATCAATAACTTTTCATCTGTCAAATTTTAACCAAAAATTAATATAATCCACCAAATGGTTCAGAGCCTTAGTGGTATGGCCGGCGCCGGTGGTTGAGTGGTAAGCGTGACTGCTTTCTCACCCCAATGGGTCTAGGCTCAATCCGAGCCGAGGTCGGTGGGTTTCTTCTGAAGCATAAAAATGTCTGGTCACGTCTTCCTTCGGAAGGGAAGTAAAGCCGTTGGTCCCGGCCCATGATGTGTGTGTTGTGAATGGCTGCACGGAGAAAAAATACTAAACAAAGTTTGAGTTCTTTCTACTTAATATTGAGTTCAGCCTCTCACTTGCACTCTTTATTGTTGTCAAAAAAGGAACGAGAGATTCGACCCAACGATATAGTTCAACCAACAATCAATACGAAACTAACGATTTTAAATTGGCTCACCACTTTAGTAGCCTATTGGTCCCAAGCAAATGATTAACGTACCCTATTCTAGTTGAAATTCTATTACTACACTATTTTTGTTTTGATTCGCTATGAAAGTTTGACAGATAACATCAGGGGTGTGTGGATTAATGCAGAACATGCAGGGGTGAGTGACATAGCTTGGGACTGCTTGGGAGCGTTGTTCTGGTACTGAGTGAGCCAAAAATAATAATGATTTTCTTCGGGACCCAGTGGTCTTAGAGTTACCTCTATGGTTCAACCCAATTAGTTACTTTTGAGTAAATTGTATATTCTCCAATTTACGTGAATTAAACTTAATTTTGGATAGAATATATTTAAGAGTAGGCGTTTTTTTGCTGGTGTTAAATGGAAACTACTATACATATCTGATTTACTCATATTTGGGTTATTGGGCTGAACCCAAGCTGAACCGAGGGGGGCGACTCTATCTACGATGCAGGAAAAATTGTGTTTTGCTGTGGTTAGCTGCGTGCACGCTGAGTAGATATGAAGAAGATTGATGACGATTTTGAAGATTTCCTGCAAAAAGATGATGCGCGATGCAAGTAGATACAAAAAATCAAAGAAGATTTTTCGAAGTTTGATTCGCTATTGTGAGATTTGTAGAGCATCTAGAATTGAGATTTAGATGTGTCGCCCCCCTCGAGCTGAACCCCAACATTGAGGGAAAAGTACTTGATTTTGGGGAGTTTTTCATCTCCATGTGCGATATCCCTCGCGATACCCTACGCAGGTGTGGAAGAGGCCTTTCTGCACATTCGATTGCCGTCAATGGATGGCAATCGATGTCCGTCGGTGATTGGCTCTAGATTGCGGAACAGAGACCGACGTTAGATAAAGGAAAGAAAAAGAAGAAGACAGGTTCTCCAGCTATTAGGTTTTGCACCGTCGGGGTTAACCTCAATCGGATGACAGTTCAGTGGTACTGTTTACGTGGACTTAGTCGACTTTTTCTTGGGTAGATTTTCGCGATAACTTTTCAGACTGCAGTGAGATGTAAACCACACTTCTGCATTGTCCACGAGCAACATTCTTTAACCACGCTGTTCCTCGACAATTTTCAAGTTAAAATTCGGAAATCATAGAATATTTTTTTCCGAAAAAACTTGTGCTTGTAAACAGTACCACTGAGCTGTCAAAAGGGTTTAGCCGATTAACACTGAGTAAATTTGTATGGGCCGTGGATAATTGTCAACCCCATGACCTTGACAAATGTCCAAATAATACTCATAACAAATTTATGGTGGTCCTGAAAAGGACCATATTGTAGTGATGGTTGAGTAATTCTGAGCTGGGTGTTCAACACGAGGTTCAAAACGGATGAGGCTGTCGAGCTGTATGTCGTTTGGAGCGAGGGTGACACGCTTGGCATAGATGACCGACCCGCAGCGACTCACGATCGGAGGCGAATGCCACTTCGACTTGTTTCGTCTACTTACTACTCTCTGACGACTGTGCTGGGGTTGCAGCATATGCATGTAGGTAATTGGTGGATTTGTTAGTTAATTCAACGCTTTTGGACAATGCTGGACATTTACCAGTTTTTCAATAGTTTCTTGTTGAAAATCAACATTCGGAAGCATTGTTATCGATGCGTACACAGCAAAAAAAATGTAAAATCGATCAATGTAACTCAAGCTGATGAATGAAATAATGATGTACATAATAGCAAAAAGCAGATACAATATTACATCACTGGATGTAATTTTGTTCGCCAAATCGATGTACATCGTAAAACGTTATATTACACAACCGATGGATTGACCTGGTTGCAGCAGTTTGGATGTAATATTCAACAACTTTTTTTCTGTGTAGCCATATTTCTGATCGATTGGTGATAAAATTATTGAAATTGGACCAGGGGCAGCTGAGTTATTAACGTTCAAAATCTTTCTTAATTTGTTACATGTTCCATTTTCGGTTTTCACAAAGTGTACCCCCATATAGAAATCAAAGACGTAGTCCTACGTCAAAAGAACTTAAATTTAGGGTAATTTTTTTTTCTCTGTGTAATTTAAATGGTTGGCAGAGTGTGACGTCAAACAAATTCACATGGGCCTCACTTGTTTACCTCTCATTGGAAGTCAGTCAGTAAACTGTTTACGTGACCTTGGCAGTTGGCATACACCGGCATAGATCCGTCCTCAAATTGGAAATTGGCATACAAAATCATATGATTATTGTTTTGGTTCAAAAGTGCGGCTACACATCCAATGGTGAAAATTTCTGATCTTCAATCTGGGCAGATTTTTTGTCAATAGTTGATTTAAGGGTGAACATGATTTTTAAACGGCTAATGATATCGGCAGCGAGAAGAAGTTTTTCGTCCGGTGTAAGCTACGTTCAAGGCCAATCGCCAGCACCAAAACTACGCGAATATTTCTACTACATCGATCATGAAGGAATGGTAAGCCACTCGAAATGCATAAACAAGCAGATCGTCTGACAAGTGTGGACCAGACTCGCATTATCCTAATACTGGACCCTAACGTCCTAACGAAACCTTTGATTAATAGATAAAATATCATCGAACTAAGAACAGACAGAAGATAGTAATTCTGTCGGTAAGCATCGAAAAACAATGCCAGTTTTTCAGATACGATAGTATATGATTAGGCAATTCTCGTCACACTTACGAAGACCTGAATATAATTCACTTCTTGTCGTATTCCAGATATACGCCGAATATAGAAAATACGTGTTAAAAATATTTAAAATTCATATTCCACTACCAGCTCTTCTTGGATGATGCCCGAATCAAAAACTTCACATCCTGCTTCAAGGAGAAGAAATTCCTGGAATTTTTCTTCAAGCGACTGCGCCTGAACGATGGCGACCGCTACCGAGAGCACTTTCCCTTCGTATCGCCCTGCGGTCGCGAACGGAACTACATCCGCTGCGATGACGTTCCCGTTGTGTTCACCCACGTTTTTCGGGATGCGGGTAGGTTTTGATAGATTGAGATACTATATCGAATTTATGTAATGATTGCATGTTGAAAATTCGCAGAAGGCATAGAACGGCTGGCGTTCGCCCACGCGGGAGATCTACTGAACGTACCATGGGAGCCCAACCGGATCTGTATGTTTCCGCTCAGTGGACGCGTGTACCATCCGGCACCGGAACGTTACGGCTCGGTGGGTTTGATCCGTTCCAAATTGGCCATCGAGCTGAGCAGGCATTTTACCTTCCTCAATGGTGAAGAACAACCGCCAACGCATTTCACGTGGGATTCGATAAAGCACAAACTGGATAGCGAATGGTGGAAAAGTACCTACATCAACCAACGGGGTGAATCGTTAGAGTAACACACAAACAGGGATTATTTGTGATAAATTAGACATTAACTGGTAGGAAGAAAAAAGTTTGTTTCGTTACAGTTTATTGGTCTTCTTTCTTCGCACTTGCTTGTTTCATGTACGCTTGATAATCGAACGGTTCCCGTGCCTTGGCGAAGCTAACCAGGTCCGTCGGGTCCTTCTTCGTTGCATTGGTCATGAAGGCATTACTCCGTGAAGGTCCCTCATAAGGTGCAAATGTGTTCAACGATTGCTGTATCTCATTTACGAAAACCTTCTGATTTTTCTTTTGAAGCTTCTTCTCGTAATCTTTCTGTTTGCGACGTTTGGATTTCTTCTTAGTTTTCACCACCGAAGGTGGTGGTGCAGCAGCAGGACGTTTGTGCTTGAATTTCTCCCTGGAAGTGATGCGTTGGACGCTGTTCCAATGAGGAAAAGTGCACGGTAGAAGCGTGTGTTCGCGATGCAGTTGAGTTATCACAGATGTGTCGATAGGAATCCACTGGTACGATTCCAAGGCTGGTTGTACGTATTCGACGTTAGAATACAGCTCTCCCAGATCGATGGATGAACCCACTGTGCTGGTCATGTTATCGCTGGAGAGGATCATGATGGTTTCTTTGTTTTTGATATCGTGGTGCATTATGTGCTCTCCAGGAGGGAAATTCAACAGGAGCTTCAGTGTTTGCCAGAGGTTTGTAATGAGATTTGCTGGTTCGATGTCGTACGTTCGTTTCAACGCCTCTTCGATGTCCTTCAGTTCCAGATAATGGTGTGAGAGGATGGCATGAGTGACCACGTTGATCCGAAGCCGAAGTGTCCTGGAATTGGGCCTAAGGAATTGACGAACCCATTCTCGAATCAATTCACTCTTGGTCATCTGCTCAGCACCGAACTCTGCTTGATATTCCAGTTTGATCGATATATTTATGTAGAATTTCATCTTACGCAGAGATTCGTAGCAATCCATTCGGGATCTTATCAGGAACCTATACTGATCATCTCCATCCTGTAGTTTCCATAATTGAAGACGACTGTTTCGATGAGGATGATATTGCGTTTTAGATTTCGCATCGATCAAACGAAGATACTCATCGAACTCTACCACTTTGTAGTCGATTTCTTTGGAGCATTTGGCATCTCGTTCCTCCGTTTTCTTATCCAAACCATGGGTTGCCTCTTTTTTGGTAATCGACATAAAGCTTCTCACTAGATACTTGTGCGCTTTTACGTTTCTCGCGTGCGTGGACATTTTCGTTGCGGGAAACTTCTTCCCAATAAGAATTACATTTCGATGCTCAACCGTCTCAATCCGCAAAGGCACCATCCATTGCTCGTCCATATTGCTTGCACAGTCCAACAGATGACAAAGTGTCCCCGAATCGACTACGAACCTCACGTCTTCGTCTTGCTTCAGTACTGTATCAACCTGAACAGCATCATTCATCGGCATCGAAAAATGTTGATCCTTGAAAAAATTGTCCAAAACTCGTTTGTTTCGCTTCAGAGTTTTACACTGTAGCAAATTCTCGGTAAAAATATTCCTCACAACTCCATGCTCCACCACATTTTCGGACACGGGCTCAAACTGCACATTTTGTTCATGGCTTTTGTAATTTAGCCACATTACTGCCGTACTCAATATATATGTTCTACTGGAGATCTCGCTCAACATATTGCCGGCCTTTCCCTTCCAGATAGCAACGACTAAATCGTCCAAATCCTTCTCGATCGTGCTTTTCCTACAGACCAAGTGATTGTTGAAGTAATTCTTGACAAAGCTTGCATATAGCAAAGGCTCCTTGCCCAGTTTCTTCTTCAGGGCGTAATACTTGTGTAAAGCTTCCCGATCCTCGGCACTCTCAAACCCAAGTCTCATGTTCTTTCTGTTCAAAACCATCAAGCAGTGCTGGTGTTCGGCCCTCGTCAGCATGGACCCACTGGGAAAGCTATCGTACAATCTCATACCCTTGGTTGTATCGATATCCAGCTGCCTTACTTCCATGCCGGTTCGCGGATCTACTGGGTATTCCAAGGCCACCGCATTGTCATCCCGGAACGTATCGTTCAGCTGGTGCACCGCATCGACTTCGTTAATGTGCAGATTGAAGATGTCCTCTTCGTATTGGGAAAAATCGACGGAAAAGTACTCCAGCAATCGCTGTTCGCTACGCCGGTTCTGTTTGGACCTACGGTTGGGTGAGATTTATTATTAACTGGTGAAATAAGAGTGATAAATGAATGGAAAATTACCATTCTAAATTCCGGTATGCGTCCATGGTGCAGCGCGCACCGTTTGATGTTTTTGTTTCTGTTGCACTTGGCATACAAAGGCAGCAAGCTCGAGAACCTTCAGAAACGTTTCACTCCACAACGAAGTTGGATTCTGCATCGAACGAATCTTTTTCGGCGCACTTGCTTGTCACTTTTCTACGAAAACGAAGTAAATAACAAAAGAGAACCGACCACGCTACCGGACAAAGCTGATTGAACCATTTTTTTTGCTTACTCAGCTTTTTAGTAATTTTACGCGTTAAATTCCACTAGAACCTGTAAACAATGGACGGATCAGTGTTGAAGGAAGCGCTGAACATCAGGTAATTGTTTTCAACTGTACATCGAAACACTGTTTTCACCCCTTCCTCCATCTTCCAGCGATTTGCTCGGCGAACATGGTGCCCAGTTTCAGATCAGCACAAAGTACAACGACCACGGGGAGGAGTTCTTCATGGAAGACGACTACGGTAGTGCCGACGAGGACGAGGATGCCCACCGGAAGATAATGAGCCCCTGGGATAGGAGTTTCGATGAGCTGCGTGCGCAAATGTTTATGGTGTCGGAGTTTGTGTACAAACGCATCACCAAGCAGGGTGTTGGTGAAGAGCTGGTGCCGGATCGCGCCCGGGTCACAATCGATTACAATGGGTACTTTGAGAGCGAGACGTACGCGTTCGATTCCACTTCGATGCGTGGCGAATTCAAGACATTCACCATCGGCAAAGACGAAGTGGTCGGAGGTTTGGAGGAAGCGGTCAAGTCCATGAAACCCAGCGAGGAGGCACAATTCGTGATCGGATATCAGGTTCTGTTTGGTGAACTGGGATGCAAACCACGGATCAAACCCAAAGCTGACGCCTTGTTTATCGTGAAGCTGGTTAGCTTTACCGATCCAGGTGATGCAGAGGCCTTGGATAAACTGACCCAAGAGGAGAAAATGACCTACGCTGTGGTGAAGCAGAAAGTTACCGACACCAGGACTCACGCCAAGGACTTCTTCAAGCGGAACATGGTTGCGAATGCAATCAACGATTACCACAAAGCCGTCAACTTCCTGGAACGGTGCAACGTGAAGGACGAGGAAGAACAGAAAGAGCAAACCGAAACACTGATTTCGCTGTACACGAGCCTGGCCGTTTGCTACAACAAAAAGGAAAATCCTCGTCGGGCCTGTTCGATGATCAACGAAATCCGTCGTCTCGGAAATATTGATCGTATGTCACGACCGTTGTTCCACGAGGGACGGGCCCTGATGAACCTGGGAGACTACCAGCGTGCCAAGACCAGTTTGTTGAAAGCTCAGCGACTGGAACCGACCAACAAGGACATCGTAAAGGAGTTGAAAATTTTAAACGAACGCTGGGAAAAGCATCGACAAGAAGAACGAACCATATGTGCGCGTGCTTTCGGTTTGAAAGAACGCAAGGACGAGCGGCAAACCGACGAGCAAATCAAATTTACGGAAACGATGACGAAAACGCTGGAGGCATTTGTGGAAGACGAGAAAAGCAAACAGCTTACCCTCCCGGAAGGGTTGACCAGCAAGGAGATGGATACGATTCAGGATTTGGCCGATGGGTTCGCTCTGAAGCTGAATCTGCACAAGGAGAACAGCAAGGATTTCTACCGACTCGAGAAGAAAACAGTCGGGGGAGAAAATGAGAAGTGAAACGGTTGTTCGGAGCAATGGAGCGTAATTCGAACTTGATTTGTACCTTTTACTTTGAATGATAAATATATGAATTACATAGACTAAAGTAAGATAACATTTGAACACACATCATTATTTTTCATCGAACAAGCATGTAACGGACAATTTAAAAGTATCGTAGTTGGTAGTACCGCCACCTGTGGCGCGCATAGTCAATTCCTTTGAGTTTGACGTTTACACACTACCGCCATCTGTTCAGCGTAGTGCCCACCACATTGTACTCGACAGATGGCGGTAATGTTTTAGCGACGATGTTTTACAGGGAGAAATATGCAATGTGTTATGTCTGTTGTCTGTGATTTAACCGTTGGTGATAGTTCTGCTTTATACCCAATTTTGTTTTTTTTATAAGTCTTCTTAATTGCACCGACTGCTGTCATTATTTTATATGGAACATGTTGAGACCTCCTGGGAGTACTACGAAAGGCCGAATCAAAAAAGGTAGAATCACGAAAGGCCGAAAGCACTTCCAACCCACCCAATATGACGAGTATTCAATCAGCCTTGATGATGGTCAGTAACTGGTAATATAGAGTTACCTCTATGGAATAACTCTCGAAAGTCAATTGTGTGAGTTCAGAGTAGATTTTTAATTTTAAAATAGCTTAGTGGAAAGAAATTCCAAAGGAAATCTGTGAAGATGAAGAATTTTAAGTGAATTTCGAGAACAATTTAGAGGAGAACTCCAGGATAATTCTGAAGTGAATTGGATGGGAATTCTAAAGAGAATTCATGCTAATTTTAAATAGAATTATAAAAGGAAGCTTCAATTGCTATTTTAAAAAAAACTTTCAATGTCTATTAGCATCAAAGGATGAATTATATGAATTTTTCGGAGTGTTCTGTTTTTAATAAATTTTCAAGGAATTCGGAGAGAATTTAAAATTTATTTTGGATTAATTAATTCTGAAAAGCAGTCTATGAAGGGAAACGAACAAGCAGTAATCTCGGGTAATATCACTTTCAAAAATGTAGGTGACAATCCCTATTATTGCTCACCGCTCAGCGCCATGGTTGCCTCTACTGTAAGGCATTTTCTTCCTGTCACATTTTGGCAAATTTTGTTTTGGTTTTCTTATTCTGTCCAATCCACCGATGCTCCGGTCTTTTGCAGATTGAACAGCATCTGATGCTTGCGCGGCTCGAAATTCTCGAAGGAAATAAATAAAAGGTTTCTAGTTTTTAAATTAGTGTGTTCTTATTTGCTATTGTAAAAGTTAATCCCTTTAAAAAATAAGCGACTGATAAAATAAAATGGAAAGTAATAAAAGAAGGACCATTGAGAAAGGTAAGTAGTTTCGAGTAGTTTGACCCATGTCCGTTAGCTTTCTCAGCATTTACCATTCTTGTTCTACACTTCTAGTGCCAGATAAGATTTGCCAGTATGGTTCCGATTGTTACCGCAAGAATCCCGCGCATTTCAAGGAATTTTCCCATCCACATTGTAAGTATCAGTAACTGCTTACACCCGATTCACACCGTTTAACCTTCACGCATTGCTGTTTTGTAGTGGAATCGATTCTAGTGGAAGCTCCAGCTAAGGACAAGTATCGCATACCGGACGAGCTATTCATGAGCCGGGAGGTGGTTGGAGAACAGCTCAAAATTTTAGCCCAAATTTATCCCGACCTGCTAAACAATAATCGTCCTCCGACGAAGCATTCTAAGAACGACACCAAACTCGATTCGCAACCGAGCTCCACCAGTGGATCGTCGCCGAAAGTAGCTAGTTCCCAGCCCGGAAGTGTATCCACCGCAAATAGTGATGCCAAATCGATCAGTTCCTCTTCTAGCAAAAAATCTCCACCGAAAGGTAACGCCGTGGCTGATCTGTTTGCCGAGCGTAGGGCGAAAATGGCTAAAATACGTGAAGAGCAAAAGAAAACAGAACCCCAACCGTCGACCAGCAGTTCACAGGCTCAGAAAAAACCAGATCCACCCAAAGAGACGGGAATTTCATTGAAAAAGGTTATCCCACGGAATATTCACGACTACTATCCAGTGGTAGCTCCCAAAGGTCAAATGGCCAAGAAGCTTGCGGATGCAGCTCCCTACAACTACTTCCTAACGACTATAACCGATGCCAAAGTGACCCACTCGGAACCGTTGTCGGTAACGTTTCAGGAACTGCTGGACGGCAGCCTGGGGGAGCTGGAATGTTCCGTTCAAATGAACTTTATGGTGGATATCGGGTGGCTTCTGGGGCATTATTTTTTTGCCGGATACGAAGATCGTCCATTATTGATTCTATATGGCGATGAAACTCCCGAGCTGAAGATGGTGTCCTCGAAAAAGCCGAACGTAACGGCAGTGAAAGTCAACATTAGCACACCCTTCGGGGTCCACCATACCAAAATGGGGCTGTACGGATATACGGACGGGTCGATGCGAGTTGTAGTGTCGACGGCTAATTTATACGAAGACGATTGGCACAACCGCACACAGGGGCTGTGGGTCAGTCCAAGGTTACCGGCGGTTCCGGAGGATGCGGATACAGGTTTCGGCGAAAGCAAGACAGGTTTCCGGGAAAGTTTGATCACATATTTGAATTCATATAAAATTGGTCACCTGCAACAGTGGGTGACTAGAGTTCAAAAGAGCGATTTCAGTCAGGTTAAGTGAGTATTTTAGACTGATTTCCTATAGATTTAACTAGGATACTTAAATAGTAATTCGTTCTCAGCGTTTTCCTAGTTGCATCAGTTCCTGGTGGCCATCTTAATACTCCTAAAGGACCGCTATGGGGACATCCTCGGTTAGGTTATTTACTGGGAAAGCATTCCGCTCCTGTCGATGATACTTGTCCGCTGGTGGCTCAAAGTTCCAGCATAGGCAGCCTTGGTCCAACTCCACAGTCTTGGGTCCTGTCGGAAATAATGGCCAGTTTTAGGAGGGACTCGGCCCCCATCGGACTGCGAAGAGTTCCTGCTTTCAAGATGATATTCCCAAGTTTCTCCAATGTTAGGAACAGTCACGATCATTTGCTGGGAGGAGGATGCCTACCATATATGAAGGCCACGAACGATAAGCAGCAGTGGTTGAAGGACTATTTGCATCAGTGGAAAAGTGATTCTAGGAATAGGACCAAAGCAGTACCTCACATCAAAACCTACTGTCGGTGGTCCCATCGAGGTCTGTATTGGTTCTTGCTGACGTCGGCGAATCTTTCGAAAGCTGCCTGGGGTGTGTACAATAAATCGGCCAAGTTTGAAGCGCCGCTCAGGATCAACAGCTACGAGGCAGGTGTCTTATTCTTGCCAAAGTTTGTGGTAAGCTAGCATATTGAGGCAAGATTTACGCATATTTTTTCCAACTTGTTTCTTCTTTTAGATTGAGGAAAACTTCTTCCCGATGGAATCGAAGCCTGATCAACAGCATCCCACCTTTCCCATGCCTTATGACGTTCCGATAATTCCTTACGCTCCTGAAGACACTCCGTTTTTCATGGATTATCTTAGGGGCTAGTATTATTATGATTATGATGCCGTATGTCTCGAATAAATTTCTTTTTACCTAATTCTTTTTTATACTAGAAAATCCTCCAGAGTATCTCCGCCGGTATTGTAAAGAGCGCAGGTCATAAATTTCAGATTTTTGTTGGTAAACACGACCACGTGGTGCTGTACCTGTTGCTTACGACGCCTCCGCCTCGGTCCACGTGCAATCTGCATAGATAAACAAACACCCAGATTGGCATGCTGTTTCATGACGGCCATCTGTTGGGATGGGATGGGAATGATATCAAAGGACATGCGCCGATATTCAGACGGCCTCTTTTGCACATTTTCTTCGCACGCAAATTGTCAAAATAGTTTCATTGTTTGGAACGAAAAGCAAAGTTCCAATATTCTCACTCAGTTTTCGTCAATTATCAATGTCCTAAATCGTTGGTAAGTAGTTATGCAGTCTGAGGTACCTATTTGTTCAAAGAAAGAAATCATTCGCGTGAAGTAATTCAAATTTTAAATCCTGGTATCCTGGAATCGATTAGCCATATTGAAAATTGAAACACAGAAAGCATTAGTTTCAGATTTCATACAACGCTCGCAGTTACATTGTAATGTTTCACCCATAATCCCTGCAACATGAGCAAAAATAATATTCAATTGAAGAGAGGAAATGTAAAGTGTCAGAGTGCAGTCCAAATTGCAGGTGTAGGAATGAAATTGATAAAGCACGCGAACGCTGTCTGGTGGTAGAATTAGGCGTCCACCAAGACCGCTGCTGCAGTAATTGTACAAATCGATGTTTCATGTGCAGCGCTAACTAGGGTGATGAACTTCCCTTTGATGGTAGGAGAATGGTATTGGAATAGAATTTTAGGTATCCAGAATTTCAAAAGCTACAATTATAGCCGGGCGTACCTCCACTGTATTTTTCATTAATTTTAAAATTAACTTTTAATAAATTACAATAAGAATATAAATTCGGCATGAATAAAAAAAATATTGATTTCACCATACTACCGTTACACGGGTATACGCAGTAATGGTCCACGTTCCAGAAGAGTAGCATGGATAGCGGATCTCAATCTTTAGTCGATTCCCGAGAACAATCGGGATATCAGGAAGGTCATTCTTGTGAAACCGCGTTGAATTGGGTATAAGCGAAGTGGAAAGATATCTTGGAGCGTAGAGATACGATTGTTGCTGTTTTTTGGATCTAAAACGCGCTCTTGAAACAATTTGTAGGCACTTTTTTTTTTTTTTTTAATAATTCGTTTATTTTTCCAGGCTCATTTGCAGTAGCTTTGCGGAGCCGATATTCATTGTTTAGATAACAAAATTACTTAAAACTAACGTTAGTAAAGCGGGGGCCGATTACTCGCGGCTATCTCGAGGTTAGGGGTAACAAATTGTAACAAATGGATGGCAGGGTAGGGATTGTGAACACAAGGTTTGGAGAGCAATGTGCTCTTGATCTCGAACTAGGCGACACTCTGATGAAAAAGACAAACATGGGGGTACACCGATGGGTAGCTAACAACTTGGGAGAACACAAGATGACACTAACTTCTAAATCCTCAAATCTATCCGTTTTAAAAACACATAAATTAAATTCAAATAGTCAAGGTCTCGGCTCGCCAAGACATCTCTAACGGGTATCGCGGGTTGTTTTCCTCGGGCCCTGAGGGATGTGGATAACTCAGATCTGGCAACACGGTGTAAGGTACACGACCAAACAACATGCTCGATATCGTGATAACCACTGCCACACGCACATAAATTGCTGCCTGAGAGCCCAATTCGATAGAAGTGCGAGTCTAACGAGCAGTGATTGGACATAAGCCTTGAAATAACGCGTATAAAGTCGCGGCTCATGTCCAACCCTTTGAACCATGGTTTGTTCGACACCTGTGGGAGAATGGAATGTAACCATCTTCCCAATTCACCATCATTCCATTTTTGTTGCCAACTGATGAGGACTTGCTGGCGAGCAATGGAGAAAAATTCGTTGAAGGCGATTTGTCGCTCAAAAATATCGCCTTCCATAGCGCCCACCTTAGCCAATGAGTCCGCTTTCTCATTACCCGGAATTGAGCAATGAGATGGGACCCAAGCTAAGGTGATAGTATAGGAGCAGTTAGATAAAGCACTCAGTTTAGATCGTATTTCAGGCAGGAAATACGAGGAGTGCTTCATCGGCCTCATTGAACGAATAGCCTCCAATGAGCTAAGACTATCCGTAAAAATGAAATAATGGTCAGAAGGTAGTGAGGCAATTCGCTCTACTGCGTAAAATATAGCTGCGAGTTCCGCAACGTATACGGAGCATGGTTTCTGCAGTTTATAGGAGGCGCTATGAAATTGATTAAATACACCAAATCCAGTGGAAGCATTTATGGTTGACCCATCTGTGAAAAATATTTTATCGTTACTTACATGGTGGTACTTGATTGCAAAAATTGAGGGAACAACCATCGACCGATGGTGATCTGGTATTCCATGGATTTCTTGCATCATGGTCAGATCAAAATTTACAGAGGAACTATAGAAGGCTTGGAAGCAATCACGATTGGAGATTAATGAAGAAGGACCAACCTCCAGCGTCATGTACTCATAGTACAAACTCATGAATCTTGTTTGAGGATTTTGGTCGAGCAGCTTCTCAAACTGTTCTATTACCAAAGGATTCAATACTTCACAACGGATGAGGAACCGGAAAGACAGCTCAGCGAAACGATCTGTCAGTGGGAGAACACCCGCGAGTACTTCGAGGCTCATCGTATGCGTCGAGTGCATACAGCCAAGCGCGATTCGGAGGCAACGGTATTGAACTCGTTGCAGCTTCAAGATATGTGTTTTCGCCGCGGATTGAAAGCAGAAGCTACCGTACTCTAGAACCGACAAGATGGTTGTTCGATACAACCTGATAAGATCTTCCGGGTGTGCTCCCCACCAAGTTCCGGTAATTGTACGAAGAAAATTGATTCTTTGTTGGCATTTTTGTTTTAGATACGCAATATGTTTTCCCCATGTGCATTTGGAATCGAACCAGACACCTAAATACTTGAAAGATATACTTTGAGTGATTGTTCTACCCTTTAGTTGAAGCTGTAACTGTGCAGGATGATGCTTCCTAGAAAAAACAACCAACTCAGTTTTCTCCGGAGAGAATTCGATACCCAGCTTCATAGCCCAAGTAGACAAATTGTCTAAGGTATCTTGCAATGGTCCTTGCAGGTCCGGTGCACTTGGCCCTATAACGGACACAACGCCGTCATCTGCAAGCTGCCTTAGCGAGCAATTTTCGTCAAGACAACCATCAATGTCTTTAACGTAAAAATTATAAAGAAGGGGGCTTAAACATGAGCCCTGGGGGAGACCCATGTAACTAATTCGTGAAGTTGTCGAGTTTCCATGAGAAAAGCTCATATATTTCTCAGACAACAAGTTGCTCAAATAGTTGTTCATAATTGGTGAAAGCCCACTATCGTGGAGTTTATCCGAAAGGACATCGATACAAACAGAATCAAAAGCCCCCTTAATATCCAAGAAAACTGAACCCATTTGCTGTTTTTGCGCATAGGCCAGTTGAATTTCAGTTGAAAGCAACGCAAGACAGTCGCTCGTTCCTTTGCCTCTCCGAAATCCAAATTGCGTATCTGAAAGTAAACCATTCGACTCGACCCATTTGTCTAGACGAAAAAGAATCATTTTCTCCAACAATTTCCGTATACAGGACAGCATCGCGATGGGACGGTACGAGTTATAATCCGACGCGGGTTTACCGGGTTTTCGAATGGCGATAACTCTTACTTGCCTCCAATCATCCGGAACAATGTTGTGCTCCAGAAATTGATTGAATAAGTTCAACAAGCGTCTCTTCGCGACGTCTGGGAGATTTTTGAGCAAGTTGAACTTGATTCTATCCATTCCTGGAGCTGAGTTGTTACATGAGAGGAGAGCAAGTGAGAATTCCACCATCGAAAACGGAGAATCTATTTCGTTACTACCCGACGGACTATCACGAACGTTGGTTTGAACCGACACCGAATCCGGGCAAACTTTCTGCGCGAAGCTGAATATCCAACTGTCTGAGTACTCCTTGTCTTCGTTGACCGGTGATGACGCGTTGCGCATTCTCCTGCCGACATTCCAGAGTGTTCTCATCGAAGTCTCTCTCGACAAACCATCGACGAACCGACGCCAGTAACCGCGTTTTTTGGCTTTAATCAAGCTCTTAAAAGTTTTCTCGAGGTCGGTGTACCGCTCGAAATCCTCGACCTTACCGTGTTTGCGGAAGCGTTTAAACGCGGCGGACTTCTCGCTGTTCGCGTCGGTGCAATCCTTATCCCACCACGGAGTGAGAGGTCGTTTGCGAACGAAAACACCCGGAACGCGTTTCGTCTGTGCTTGAAGAGCGCAGTCAACGATAAGTCGCGATAAAAAGGAGTACTCATCCAGCGGAGGGAGTATCTCAACCGAATCAGTACCACCGAGAACCGCGGACGCAAATTTTTGCCAGTCGATGTTTTTCGTGAGGTCGTACGCGATGTCAACCGAGCGAGTGGAAGATGAACCATTGGTAATAGAAATTTTGATTGGCAAGTGGTCACTACCGTAGGGATCTTGAATTACTTTCCACGAGCAATCCAACGATAGTGAGCTCGAACTGAGGGAGAGGTCTAATCTACTTTCTCTTGCTGGAGGTTTGGCCACTCGTGTTACTTCCCCAGTGTTTAGAATTGTCATATTGAAGTTATCGCAAAGGTCGTATATCAGGGTTGAGCGGTTGTCATCGTACAGTTCCCCCCAGCCTGTACCGTGGGAGTTAAAATCTCCTAATATCAACCGAGGCTCAGATAAAGCTGAGCAGATATCTGAGAGACCTTGGCGAGAAATCGCAGTTCTTGGAGGAAGATATACTGAGGCAATACTGAGGCTTTTACCTCGAATATTTACCTGACATGCGACAACTTCAATGCCTGTCACGGAAGGCAGATCGATTCTATGAAAGGAATGGAGCTTATGAATCCCGAGAAGCACCCCTCCATACGAATCTGCTCGATCAAGGCGAATAATGTTAAAATCGTGGAAAGGGAGATCGGTGTCTGAAGAAAGCCATGTTTCACAAAGAGCAAATGCATCACAAAGTGAGTTGTGAACTAAAAATTTGAATGTGTCAAGTTTCGGTATAAGACTTCTACAGTTCCACTGAAGAACAGAGATCATATCCCCGACCTCATTCGGAAAATTATCCATCAAAGGATATGATCGATGCAAGGAAGGACCACCTAGAAGCTAGTTGCTTCAAAAGAGTTTTCACGAATGGAAGCACTAAATTAATAATGTTCCGAGTTGAGTCAGAGACGTTGAATATATTGAAGATGCTCTCCACAATTTCAGAAAACGTGAACATGGCATCATGTTCTTGCTGATTATTCAGC